ATAAACTTGTAATTGCCGAACTTGATGAGTCCAAGGTTGGCGTGTATTCTTGCGAAGCAATAATTAATGGCCAAACCATAGAAAAGACACATTTTATAGCCATAACAAAAGGTAAACTTACTTTATCAATATATTTTAACCAATGATCAAATTGTGCATAATATAATTTTAAAAATAATAAAGAACTTAGTCGATCTTTTATTATTTTGTAAAGTGTAATGTTAACGGATTTGTTTATTCATTTATTTCTTTAATTGATTATTTCTAGGATATTTCAATACATTTCTGTGATTACAATATTAAAATCAATGATGAGCATAGTATTTCTCAACTATAACAAGACAATCATTTGTTGATATATTACTAGAGAAACCGACGGCACATATTGTTAAAACGTTTATACCTCCGTACTTTGCTTTGGTTTGTACCACCACTGGGTATCCACCGCCACAGATCGGATGGGCATTCGTTAAAGCTGGCTCTAGTGTAAGTTGTTTCATATCGAAACGAAAGCAGATAACTTATCTTACACTCCTTTGATAGATTGATAGATTTATTTCTTTTGTTTGTTTGTTTGTGTTTGTTTGTTTGTTTCATTTTACGCCTTTTCCTAACAGTATTTCAGTTATATAGGCGGGTAGTTTCCTAACCATCGTTCCTGGAGAGTTACACCAGTACTAGACTACCTTCCTCTGCGCTAAACCACCAAAGCATCTCCCGGGGATCGAACCCCCGCCAGAGAGTTAACTGGATAAGAAGTCATCGACTCTAACCCCTCGACCACGGAGGCGGTCTGATTTATTTCAATATTGTGTATTAACATGGTATAACAATAAAAACAAATATCAATATATAAGAAATGAAACCATGTCAAAAACATCATACCTAGGATAACACAAGAAAGAGAACTTAGTCTTTTCTTGTTGTCAGGCAAATTGTGCCACATAAATGCTTTAATGTTTTGTTGTTGTTTTTTTTGTTGTTGTTTTTTTGGTGTCCTGTGATAGTTTTCAAAAAAGTACATGTAACTCGTTTGCCAATTATCTGAACCATATTTTGCATCTGTTGCTTTACGGCAATTTGTACAGTTGTAGTGATTAAGTATTTTGTATGGAAGTCATAATACTAATTTGTTAACATTTTGCTACATTTATGACATATAAATGCAGGTTCAAAGCTACTTCTTTTCAAGTAATTAATAAGCATCTAAAATGTTCCAAAACCATTATTTCAACGTTATAAACGCAAGTTTGTCATTTGCTTTATTTATCTTTGTGGCATATATTGTGCCTTTAAATTACTTGTGTCAGATATTTTGGAAAATTTTCAGAACTTTTGAAAGAATTTGTTTTTGGTACCATAAAAAATGATCCATTTTCTGTCAAAAGCCCTGATTATCGGGAAACGCATGTAGAAAGTAAAATCCGTTCGTTTATAAACACAGTAAGGCAGGATTTGTACAAAACTATTGCCGAAGCGATTACTAGTAACATGTGTGATGCCACATTGTATCTATTTAACAGACAGGCTCAGTGGGACTTCCGGGCGATGCTGACGTCACACGTAAAGGGCTCGTCTCCATAGTAGCGGTCGATCACTATAAGTCGGCGTCTCATGACGGCTCCTGGTATTGTGCTGCCACCAACTGCCTTGGTGACGTCATAACTGAAACTGATATTCCCTAGGTTAAGGTACGTATCTAAACAATTTAACAATACTTTGAAGCAAAGCAGTTTTCTTCTTTTTAAACCTACATTTGTATATATAAAGACTTTTAGAATAGACTCAATCTCATTTTAACGAGTGATGAAAGCAACAACTTTACACACACTGATGAAAATTAGTACTGACTTATTTTATCAACTAAATAAAGCTTGGCCAGTTGTCAATAATGCACAGCGGGACACCTGGGATCACTCTTGAACAGGTGCCCGCTCGTGCCTGGAAAAATGCACGGAGGGACAACCGGGATCTCTCTTATACAGGTGCCCTCTCGTGCCAGGAAAAATTGCACTTAGGGGGGCACCTGGGATCTCTCTTATACAGGTGCTTGCTAGTGCCTGGAAAATGCACTTTGGGGCACCTGAGATCTTCCATCACTAGTAAAGCCGGAATGTCACCATGTGACTTTTAAATGAGTTATTGCGTTTGTTTTGATAAATTTATTTCTTTAGGTTATGATGTGGCAACTGCAATAGTATGACATTCTGAATACTTTTTTTTGTGTGTTTTAGGTTAAGTTCATCCGATACCTGCAAAGAAATTTAAAATTGTTACGTGTATTTTGTTCAGATAAAAAGTTCAGACCAGTTAAACTTTTGTTGTTTTATGTTTCCTTTTGTTTCTTTTCTTTTGAGATAGTTTTAAGTTTTTCTCATATCTACATAAAGGGAATAATACAATAAACTGATATCTAAAAAGAATGATTTGCCTTTCTTATCAAAATAACCAGTTGATAAATAAACTATCTTATATAATTCAGATACATGTATTTACTAAAACGAAATTTTATATTGAACACACTGCAAAGGCACATTTTGCCTCAGATACATATTTATTAAATTCTTTAGAAATGTCAAATATTTCATACAATTTCGAAATGATCTAAAATTTGCCAGCTGACGGTGAAATTTCTCGCGGTTTTACAATGGACATTACCGGCCACCGTAGATTAAATAATGAAGGCCCGACTACTTTTTCACAAACAAAGGGTTTTATTATCTAGAATCAAATACAATTTTAATCATTTAAAAAAAAAGGTTATTAATGGAAAATATATGTGAACCATTAAAAAAGAATATTTTGCAAATATGCAATAAAAGATATAAAAAGCGATCAAAACAAATTTCAAGAAAACGTAATAGTTCTAATGTCATTAATGCAAGGATACATATAATCTTTACTTTTAAGTTATTGGCACTATACCTAAAGTCTAGAAATAATTAGCAGGTTTATAAAAATAGTCAATTTTCAGCGGGATGATCGTTTTGAACAAAATTGACAAACTTCCTGCAACTAAACATTATACGTATAAGAACGCCAAAAAGAAAAAAATGACGTTACATGACGTTACAATATCGTCTTTCTGTTTGTTTGTTTTTATTTTGTTAGACCTTGATTATATTGCAAACAACAGTACATATACGGCAATATAACCTGTCCAGAATCTTTATAAAGAATTTATAATGCTGCAAACTTCCTGTGAGTTGTCTTTTTTCCATCATTTGACTGTGCTCAGCTGTAAATATAAAACCATATTAACGTCACGATAAGTCAATAAAAAGCGACGTTACAATCGTGCAGTATTATGAAAGTTGTACAAATTTTACGTCACGATAGTCAATGAAAAGCGACGTCTTCTTTTATTCCCTCGGTACGTCGACGTCGTGAAGAAGATACAGAGAACGGGCACAAGATTTGGCGAAAAATGTATAACTGAAACTTGTATCGTGGACTATGCACCTGCCGATGTCCTGACTAATTCCGACAGGAGTGGCACGACGAAGCACGCAGGGACGGCGAGGAAGTGTGCTAGTGTGCTTAAGCCCCTAGCACGATATGAATGCTTTAAAACACCAACACCCCTTTTTAAGGGATATCCCCTTTTAATATTGTTTCAGGTTACTGTACGTTTTGATTCTTATCGAGTAATAGGCACTAACCTACTTATCGCTCATAATCTGCTAACACTACATTAAGCGAAATACCTTTTAACTGGTACCAGAGACATAGATAACAATGTTATCTATGTCTCTGTTGGTAGAACATACATGTTAACCAAATACAAGCTAACCGTGACAAGTTTCAAGCCATAGCTCTTGGAAAAACTACAAATAAACACTTAAAACAATAACAAATTAATAATGTTATAACAGATTGTGAGGAATGTGTAAAATTCCCTCGGAAAAGGTAAATAGGCCTACACTGTACTCTACATTTATCAAGAATCAAGCCTATAATTGAGCCGCGTCACGACAAACCCAACATAATGGGTTTGCGACCAGCAGGGATCCAGACCAGCCTGCACATCCGCGCAGTCTGATCAGGATACATGCTGTTCGCTTACAAACCCTATTACAAGTAGAGAAACTGATAGCGAACAGCATGGATCCTGATCAGACTGCGCGAATGCGCAGGCTGGTCTGTATCCATGCTGGTCGCAAACGCACTATGTTGGTTTTGCCGTGACACGGCTCATATTTTTGGGTGCCCTACTGGTGTGGCTACATGTTCTGTACACGTCGCCTTACTAGGTTTATCTTCAAATTTCTCATCTTTGAAGTTCTTGTAGAAGTAGATATGAAAATTAATCACCATATTTTAATAAATTTGTTCAATTTAAAAATTCCAAGTATTCTTTTAGGTGTCAAAAAGTGTAACGTTAGATACACCAATGGTTTGAACAGTATCATATGGTAAGAATTATTTCAGGTTTGAGGGTACGCAGATCTTCAACACCCTCCGAAATGTCATCCGACCTAGAGTGACCAAAGCTGTATATGTGTCTTATCTAGTTTTAAAATCTTTAATGTCGATGTTTCTTTTCTCTCCTCTTTTAGCTGGCTTTGTTTTAAAAGTTGTATATTATTTTATATACCTTTAAACTTTTTTCATCCTTTTCAAGATTTTTTATACTTTACTAAGTTGCCCATATTTCATTTCGGTGTTATTATATTTTTCTGATCTTTCGGAATTATTCATGCCAACACATTAAGTACCGCTCAAGCTGTGGCCTCTGGGATGTTGCACTTTTTCTTTATCCCTCATGTACAGACTCAATCAAACCAAGTCTGAAATTTTCATGTAATTTTGTTGTTTTTAATGCTTCCGAGGAATCATCCTTTTTTTCCAGATTTTTGTATAGTTTTGTATGCTAATTTGTCCTTGCTGTTTCAGTTTATTTGTTTGCTTTTAATTAAAACTTCTCTTTTTTCCAATCCCTAAGATTGTGCATGCAATTTCTTCTTAGTTAATCTTTGTGCGCCTAGTTTGTATTCCTTTAAGTGCTTCATCTGTTTTTTAGCTCACCTGTCACAAAGTGACAGGGTGAGCTTTTGTGATCGCTTTTCGTCCGGCGTCCGGCGTCCGTCCGTCCGTCCGTAAACTTTTGCTTTAAATGACATCTCCTCATAAACCACTGAGCCAATTTCATCCAAACTTCACAGGAATGTTCCTTTGGTGGTCACCTTTAAAAATTGTTCAAAGAATTTAATTCCATGCAGAACTCTGGTTGCCATGGCAACCAAAAGAATTTTTTTTAAATATCTTCTTTTAAAAAACCATAAGAGCTAGAGCTTCGATATTTGGCATGAAACATCTTCTAGTGAGTGTCTACCAAGTTTGTTCAAATAAAAGCCCTGGGGTCAAAATTGGCCCTGCCCCAGGGGGTCATAGATTTTCCCTATATGCATATAGTAAAAACTTAAAAAATCTTCTTTTAAAGAACCGTAAGAGCTAGAGCTTAGATATTTGGCATGAGACATCTTCTAGTGAATGTCTACCAAGTTTGTTCAAATAAAAGCCCTGGGGTCAAAATTGGCCCCGCCCCAGGGGATCATTGATTTTCCCTATATGCATATAGTAAAAACTTAAAAAATCTTCTTTTAAAGAACTCAAAGAGCTAGAGCTAAGATATTAAGCATGAAACATCTTCTAGTGAGTGTCTACCAAGTTTGTTCAAATTAAAGCCCTGGGGTCAAAATTGGCCCCGCCCCGGGGGTCATTGATTTTCCCTATATGCATAATTATAGTAAAAACTTAAAAAATCTTCTTTTAAAGAACCATAAGAGCTAGAGCTTAGATATTTGGCATGAAACATCTTCTAGTGAATGTCTACCAAGTTCGTTCAAATAAAAGCCCTGGGGTTAAAATTGACCCCGCCCCAGGGGGTCATAGATTTTCCCTATATGCATATAGTAAAAACTTAAAAATTTTCTTTTAAAGAACCCAAAGAGCTAGAGCTAAGATATTAAGCATGAAACATCTTCTAGTGAGTGTCTACCAAGTTTGTTCAAATTAAAGCCCTGGGGTCAAAATTGGCCCCGCCCCGGGGGTCATTGATTTTCCCTATATGCATATGGTAAAAACTTAAAAAAATTTCTTTTAAAGAACCATAACAGCTAGAGCTTAGATATTTGGCATGAAACATCTTCTAGTGAATGTCTACCAAGTTTGTTCAAATAAAAGCCCTGGGGTCAAAATTGACCCTGCCCCAGGGGGTCATAGATTTTCCCTATATGCATATAGTAAAAACTTTAAAAAATTTCTTTTAAAGAACCCAAAGAGCTAGAGCTAAGATATTAAGCATGAAACATCTTCTAGTGAGTGTCTACCAAGTTTGTTCAAATTAAAGCCCTGTGGTCAAAATTGGCCCCGCCCCGGGGGTCATTGATTTTCCCTATATGCATATGGTAAAAACTTAAAAAATCTTCTTTTAAAGAACCATAAGAGCTAGAGCTTAGATATTTGGCATGAAACATCTTCTAGTGAATGTCTACCAAGTTTGTTCAAATAAAAGCCCTGGGGTCAAAATTGACCCTGCCCCAGGGGGTCATAGATTTTCCCTATATGCATATAGTAAAAACTTAAAAAATCTTCTTTTAAAGAACCCAAAAAGCTAGAGCTAAGATATTTAGCATGAAACATCTTCTAATGAGTGTCTACCAAGTTTGTTCAAATAAAAGCTCTGGGGTCAAAATTGGCCCCGCCCCGGGGGTCATTGATTTTCCCTATATGCATATAGTAAAAACTTAAAAAATCTTCTTTTAAAGAACTCAAAGAGCTAGAGCTAAGATATTTAGCATGAAACATGTTCTAATGGGTGTCTACCAAGTATGTTCAAATAAAAGCCCTGGGGTCAAAACTGGCCCCGCCCGGGGGGTCATTGATTTTCCTTATATGTGTATAGCAAAAACTAAAAATCTTCTTTGGAAAAACCCAAATAGCTAGAGTTTAGATATTAAGCATGAAACATCTTTAAGTAAATATCTACAAAGTTTGTTAAAATAAACGCCCGGGGGTCAAAACTGGCCCTGTCCCAGGGGTGACATTGTTTTTAACTATATGTGTATAGTAAAAACTTTAAAAATCTTCTTTTAAAAATGCCAATGAGCTAGAACTTAGATGTTTAGCATGAAACATCTTCTTATGGGTGTCTACCAAGTCTGTTCAAATAAATAAATAAAAGCCCTTGGGTAAAAATTGGCCCGGGGGTGGGGGCCTATATACAGGTGAGCGACCTCAGGGCCATCATGGCCCTCTTGTTTTTCTATTCATGCAGTTTTTAACCAGGTTTTCAATTTTGAAAATC